CTCCGCACACTGAGCTCTGATTGGTCAGCAGGCAGTGCTTTCACTGAGTTGAGCTCTTAGCCTGCAACCTAACCTTGTCCCGACCAGGTTAGCCGCTAAGCATAAGTTACCATGGAGATCTAGCCTGCTAAAAAGAGAACCAGCTTCGTAGGACCGGAAAGCCGGAGTTTTCCCTGAATTTAGCCGGCTAAGCGAAAATCCTGCTTCGTAGTATACCCCCCTGGTCTGCCCCTGGCTCCGCCTCTGCCCAGGTGTTCCAAATTCCACTCAGCCGTGTATATATAAAGAGAAGCTGGAGGAGAAGGATGTCTCGCCTGTCCTAACGCCGGGAGACACTCTCCTTAGAATACCTCTTTGCCATTTTGAGCTGGAGGCCATATTTTTGCAGGCGTCTTTATGTTTAGCCTGGAGGATCTGGTAGTCCAGTTTTCGTGGGTTTATTTTGTTTCCCATAGGGTTTATAATTGATTTTTGGTTAGCGGGGGAAGTTCTGGGTCCTACGGCCCGTGGTGTGGCTGGCTCAGGTTCCCTCCTTCTGTTTGTTCCTTTTGGCCAGTCCTCCAGACCTCTTTTTGTTTCCCTTTTTGCTTGTGTGAGCAAACGGCTGATTATCAATAAATGCTCGTTACCAAGTACCGGTTATTGCGTGTATTCTTTCATGTTGCGGGTCTCAGCACCAGCCACTACGCGGAGTAGAGGTTGGGGCCGTAACAACATGTCCAAGACACTGTGAAATGTACTTTGCACTTCAATGGAGTAATACAAAGTTAAAATGGGCATTTTCTTTGTTGATTGAGCTGATTGAATTGTGTAGTTATGGTAAAATCCCAGTGAACTAGTCAGATTTGCAATATATTATCGTATTATTTAACATTTTTATATTTACAGTAAATTACTAGCTACTGTGTTGCATTACTTCTACAGTAATAGTGTGAAAATAGAGGTAATTACTGTAATTTATGTACAGCAAGGTACCATAATACCACAGCTCTGTACTGCTATATCACAGTAATTCCATGGGCATGGCAACTGTAAAGTCACAGTCACAGTATTTAGTTGTACTTTTCTTCTAATTTACTGTAAAATATCCACAGTAATTGACTGTGAAATATTCACAGTCAATTACTGTGAAATATTCACAGTCAATTACCGTGAAATCCATGCAACTAGTAGCCAGTAATTTACTGTAATTTTACAGTCAAACATTTTACAGTACACACACACACACACACACACACACACACACACACACACACACACACACACACACACACACACACACACACACACACACACACACACACACACACACACACACACACACACACACACACACACACACACACACACACACACACACACACACACACACACACACACATACACACACACCTGTAAGTAAGGAATGGAAATGAGACCTATGTCTGTCATGTGCCTCTGACCGAGATCCATGGGAGAATATGGAAAGAGTAACCTGGCTTTTTGTGTCACTTGGGTGTGCCCTTCGTGACCTCACATGAATCCTTTGTGTTTGCCGTGGAAGGACTCGCTATCTGTGTCGTGAAATACAGCATCACCTGAGCAAAGACGGAACAGAATCTTTCAGTGTCCCTCCTTTCCTGATATCTTTCCTTTCCCTATTACATTTTTCTTTTATGTTCAATGTTTTGCCCCTTTTCTTTCATTAATTTCTGTGCTACACTTAATATGACTTATATTCGTCAGGCAGAGGTCTGCTCATCCCCAAATCCACCTTCCTCGTCCTTTTATTAATTTACCTCCCCTCCGGTTTCCTACACGTTTGCAGGTGGACATTAATAGCCTCCGCTGTATGTGGATGACACACTAATTAATCAAGCACACTATGCTGGCCAATCCAGTAATGGCCAACAGCTTCTATCACGCAGCTAGCTGGCAATAACCAGTTTGTGTGTGTAGCAGTTGTTCCTAGGTGGATACATTGTAAGTTGGTGAATTTGTGTGTGTATGTGCAATATTTAGTGTGGTAAACTGTGTTTAAAGGCCCCTTTTGAATTGGTCAGACTCCTCTAAATGAAGCTGCTTATTTTATAGTAAGGTGGAGATATTATGTCTAGCCTCACTCTCACCTCCAAAGGTTATTGGACTCTTGCCACACATCACATATGTTCCACTTTTTGGTATACCTCTTTCTATCTCTCCCTCTGTTTTTCTTCTCACTGGCACACTTCACCTTCCATCACATCCCTAGAAAACAGCTTTTTCTTAAAAAATAAACTAGATAATCATTTATACCTAGGAGGTCTTGCACTGTGTAAAATATTCAATGATTTCCAACACTTCATTACAGCAATGTCAAGTTTGATCTGTTGCATTGGGAAGAGACTCTTAGTATGCACATCCTGCAGTTGCGGCTATCTGCCCAATGAGAAATGTGTGTAATCTAAAAGGACCATTTGATAATCATTTCCTTGTTGAACACTCCACAAACATCCAGAATACAATAATTTGTTTTGAATTTTGTTTATCACGTTGATTGAATTTTACAACGTGGCACATCTATGAGCCAACAAATCAAAATATGGACATAAACACTTCTCATTCATTTATTTGCAGGGAAGAGAGAGAGAGGGATGTGAAGGAGTGGAGAAGGATTGATGAGAAGCAGGGAGGTACAGGCAAGGTGATTAAAAACTCAAGCTACAGATGTTTCTGGAACACTTCAAAGTGATGCGCCTGCCAGTGCCAGCGCTGGGCATGATGCATTATTGAGAAGGTGCCCACCTGGCACCTGGCGCTGACATCACATGCCCGGTCCACCTGGCACTGTGCGGTCACGTTGGTGATACTATGGGTCACACCTCCCTGCACCAACCCAGCTCCCAGCGTGATGAAGGGCATCAGGGGAAACAGCACACATGCTCACACAGTTCTCAAAGGCACTAAACTGGGGCATGTGTGAGTGTTAACGTGTAAGAGGGTTAGTTCATGAATGAAAAGTGAGGAGGCAGGAAATGTTGCAATATCTTACTTGTTTGTAAGACGTGGCTAGATGTGAATATTTATTTGCTACCTACAGAATTTATAACTGAAATCAGATTTTATTTCCCCCCTTGCTTGTTGCTGTCTGTTTAGATTTACAAGTTGTGTAATGTTGAAGCAATATTGTGTTTTGTCTTGCATGCGGGGAAGATGAAGGAAAATTAAATGATGCACTACAACAATGTAATTTCCTATGCAGTAAATAATTTAAACGCAATGACGATAATTCAGCAAAGTCTGTATAGTTGAGAAGAAAGCCTGGGAATCTTTCTGGAATCTCTACGCCTTTGAAGTAGCCTCCGGTGTGTTGACGCAATACCTTCTACTTAATATTTCAGGAGCCCCCTCAGCCTTGTATAAAGAATATTTAGAGGTCACTCAGTGTGTTTTTGTGTGTGTGCATGGACATCTGTGTGTGTGTTTCTCCTGCATGTGTCCCCTGACACCTGTACTCTCTCAGGGTGTGGGGAACAGACAGAGGCCAGAGCCACAGTCACAGGTCTCAGACCAGTGGGGTGTGAAATGAATCAGAGGGGCCAACACTCTCCCCCTGCTACACACACACACACACACACACACACACACACACACACACACACACACACACACACACACACACACACACACACACACACACACACACACACACACACACACACACACACACACACACACACACACACACACACACACACACACACACACACACACACACACACACACACACACACACACACACACACACACACACACACACACACACACACACACACACTCGCACACTTACACACCCACACACACACGCACACACACACACATTGACTTTGCGATAATGTTGGTGTGTGAGAGCAATGGAGAGCAGAGACAAAAGATGAGAGGTCAGAGACAAGACACTATCCTACTCTGTTGTACAATTCTTGGATGAAATAATATCACCTCAGTTAAAAAGATCAATATAAATATTTGTGAATTAGTGTGGGGTAACGCTGGTTTAGCTTCAACAGTTGAGTTTACTACAGTCCCAAAAGCTGGATTATAATACAATAAGGTAATGCAGGCGACGGCCTCAGCTCTGAAGCCTCCAGGAGCCCCAAAAGGTTCACTGCATGTCAATTGCTTTAGGTAATTTGATTAATTACAGATGTGTTAGGGAATTTGCACCAGAAAAGTCTTAGTATGTGTTGTTTTATTTGAAAACATAAAATTATGTTTAATCTTAGATACAGCTGTTTTTAAATGAACATCAATTAAAGTGTAATTCCAGCACACGAGTACTGATTGTACTGGGAAATATGGGAGTTTGGTTTGGTTGACAGGGTTCATACACATTGTACAGAGGCTCAGTAGGGGCTTTTTAACACCAAACATGTGTTTTATTTATTGTCACTTTCCAATTATATTAATTGTGGCGAATGGCTGCACGATGAAGACTTAAGGCAGCAAAGACACAGAACTGCATATACTTTAATACCTGTTTGTTTATCTCAAGTAATATCTTCATCCCAATTTTCAACAAAGTTAATACTCTAACAATGTCCCTCTTGTAATACATTCCCTTTTAGGAAACGTCAGTGGGAGATATTTATCAAAAGGTCAACATCTAACGATCGGCTGAACTTGAATTGCTGACATTATTCTGTATTTTCAAAAAGGCTTAATTTGATTTTTCCCTTTTAATCCTTCTTTTCATACATTTGTGCTTTAGAATGTGTTATTGTCTCGAATTTGAAGCAAAACACTTGTGTAAAAAGTGTAATAAAGTTTATTTATGTCAAGAGTTCATATGGGTTCAAGCTCCCTTGATCACAACCTGCAAGTTTTCCAAAAAATTATAAGCAAAAATAGTCCAGCAACAAGAAACAGGGCGGGCAGCAGAGAGCGTTACAGGTATATGGTTGGCTGAATCAGCTGTCAATCATCCTCCCTGAAGGGGTAAAGGCTCCGCAGCACCTCCCATAGACGCACAGCGGCAGCGCAGCTTCCGACAATGATATTCAAGGCACTTGCGGCTCGTCTGCAGCGGTAGGAGAAAAAAGAGAGGAGAAAGAGAGAACCTCACCTCCTCAAACAGCGAGTGAGGTTGAGCAAAAGAGACAGAAAGCGCCAGAGAGAGACCGAGAGGAAGAGAAGAGGCTGTGTGGAGTTTAAGGAGAGACACCAGCGGCTTGGACCTCCAGCGAGGAGTGTTTAATTCATTGTAAAGTGTCTAATATCCACACAGAATCGACATGTCATCGTCCGGTAAAGACAACAGCGGTGCCCAACATGCCAATTACGTGGGACCTTACCGTTTGGAGAAGACGCTCGGGAAAGGACAGACAGGTTAGTTGGGACAGCTTGCTCACTGCATACCCTTTTAATTGCACCATTTATTTTCGGACCGCTCCGCAGCGAGTTGAAATTTGGCCGGCTGGGTGTATGCAGGTGAATAACTAATAACAGCTTACTTGCAAACACCTGCCAAGCATTGTGGTGAATTATTTGGGTTTGTTTTTTCTTCGGCGGTCTGACATAATCGTTTTTCTCATACTGATATTCTGAACAATCTGTGTTGTTGTATTTGCTGTAAAGTGTCTCTACTGTAGGCTAATTTTATTATATGTAGGCTACAGCACTTTGGCTCGACCAAACATCGTTTATAAATGTGCTATATAAATAAAACTTGATTTGATAATCATTGTTCACACAGTGGGACGAGGGGGAAAGGGAGGGGGGGATTTAGTCGCTTTAGTTGCTTTACATGGGTTTGTTGGTTGTGCGTTGGCGTTGGACTGGGTGTGTGTATCAGAGCAACGTGGTGGACACCATCCAACGCCGAAAAATGGTGACAGTGTGATGTGCTGTGGAAATTAACTTTTCATGTCCCCTGTTGGAGTGTGTGTGTCCTGTGATTGGAGCACAACGCCGTTAATCCCGATTTGCCTGATACATTGATCTATTCTTAGTCTCAGGTTGGCACTGAGTCAGGCGTCTCTCCTATAGGCTCTGACTGCAATACGTGGGTTTCTACCGAAATAGAGGGTCCCACCTTGACAGATTACACCATAGTCTGCATACAGAGCTGGACAAGAGCTACACTGATTTTAATTGTTTTGCCCCAGAATATGTAACTGGGCTTCCTTAATAAGGAGCACATGCTTCATCTCAGCATAGACAGGAATGACAAAGTTGCATAGCACATGAGCAATTTATAAGAGGAGTTCATTCTCTTAATATTTCATGCTATTTTGTAGGTGATGCTTGCATGTGTGTGTGTGTGTGTGTGTGTGTGTTTCCTATACAGTATTTCAGCCTTGTTGTGAGCATGGGTGCACAGTGAGAATGCAGCCAGAGGAGCCATGTGAAAGGAGAGGCAGGCACAGCCCTGTGAAGAGGCAGAGATGGAAGGAGTGATGCAGCATGCTCTGTAAGCCCTCCACCCGTAAAGAGAGACTCAGAGACTTTTCCTCTCCTCTTCGGCGAAAGATTTCCTCCCATCTGCTGCCTAAAACGGCTACAATAGGCGTTGCTTCCCTCTACTCGCTCCAGCTGGTCATGCTGAGCTTCAGTGTGTGTGTGTGTGTTTCCTCAGACAGTATGCTTTCTTGAAATATTCTCCTCTGTCACTTCATTCACCTGGCGAGTCCCTCTGTGTTCATTGATGGAGTTTGTCTGTTTGCCTTCCCATGGTGTCAATGTTTGTGTATGCCTTACTTGGAATTTGGGTCAGTACATTTGATGTACACACACAATTCCCAAAACATGCATCAATCATAATCTGTAGCTGTACATGCAATGCAAAGTACCTGACATATCTGCAGCGTGATGCTCCAGTTGGATCTTTCCTAGCAAATGTTGTATTAACGCACAGTGGCTTGTTTCCCTTTCTCCTGCTACTCGTATTTAATCATTTGTGTTTACAGGAGGATCTCTCACTCACAGCCAGACTCCACTCTTTTTCTGATAGCTCTCAGGAGTGTCGTCTAATGGCTGTTTATTGTGGCATAGAGCTGGCACTATTGTCTGCTAGGTACAGACATTTAATGACACAGTGACTCTAAGATCATGTACGGCTCAGGATCTATCTGTGAATGTCGAGGCAGGTTTAGATGCATTTTTTTCTGCCAGCCTCAGATGTCCGATGAATGGAAACAAAGTAATCTGCAGGTCAGCGTGGATCATGACTTTAAGCTGCTGCAAATCAAACAACTCTGACAAAACAATGTTTCACTCAGAGACATTTCGGATCAAATATATTCATTTTGAATGCTTTTGGGCCTGGTTTTTCAATTACACTTTCATGTTTCAAATGTGAAATAGCAATAATGGCGCCCAGCTTTATGCATGTGTTGTGTTAGAAAAATCATTTGGTTACTGGCGTCTGTGTGGCTGTTCCACGCCAAACCTATTCAGATTAATGGTGGCGCGTAATATCCCAGTCACCCATTAACCATTCGCATAATCTGTCAGATCTCTTTCCCAGGCCCCACGGAAAGGGTTGTCCCAGCAACTGTGTGCGCCCAATGGGCCGGGCTCAATGGTGAGTGGCAGCTAGGACCATCCAGTGGATTAAATCCCCTCTGAGCTTTCCCAGGCTGCGTTTGGCCGGTATTATTAGAAGTGGAGAAAGCGGAACAACTCTGGTTGATCTGGCTGTCCTGGCTGTCCTGCTCAGAGGAGTGGTGCTGTTCCATGTTCATTAAGTGATTAGGCCATGTCCTGACACACACACACACACACACACACACACACACACACACACACACACACACACACACACACACACACACACACACACGGCCACCACAATGCTTCTGATTTGGCTTCCTGATCTAATCCCCTACACAGCCAAAGTCTCCTCGGCTCTCACTCACATGCTCACGTGACCAAGAGGTCCAGAGGTAGCCCACTGTAGCTTATCAACTTAGAACCTCTATGTTACTGTAGAAAATAAAATGCATGGGACAGATTAAATGCAACAACATAAGCAGTACCATGCATATTTTTCAACATCTATTTTTCTGCTCTGAATAATGAGTGTTTGTACCCCAGACTTAGAATCGGAGGGATGAAACCCTCTTCAATGGTCACACATGCAGAGCACACGGCACACACAGTGACATTTGGCCTCTGCATTTAACCAATCCTAGTACCAGGAGTCTAGTACTAGGAGCAGTGGGCAGATATATTGTACAGCGCCCGGGGAGCAATGGGAGTGGGGGGGTACCACTTGCTCAAGGGCACCACGGCAGGGCCCAGGAGGTGAACTGGGACCTCTCCAAGTAGCAGTCCACACTCCATATTTAGGTCTGGTTCGGGGACTTGAACCGGCGACCCTACAGCTCCCAGTCCAAGCCCCTACTGACTTGTAGTCTGTATGATTCCCTCTGTATCAGGTGTGCATTGGGGACTGTTGCGGTCTATAGATATGGAGTGTCTGCATGGTCGGCTACTGATTGGGACTAAAGCCACAAAAACATGGACGCCATTTTTTAAGCCAAACACAGTCATTGTGTTTGAATGGTTGAACTGGACCATGATTTTGTTTTCTAGCAGAATCATAGTGTATGAATACAGCAACATCAGGGCAGCTTCTTTGTACCTCTTGATTGCCACAAATTGACAATCAACTTTCTGTTTCTACCAAACATTAAATTAGCCCCATGAGCTGCCTCTTGTGCACTTTGTTTGACTCACAAGCTTGGAACTTGACAACTGAGGAAACATTTGTTGAAGTTTAGACCTCCCTTTTGAATGTTTTCAGGGTTTGGAAGAACAGATTTTATGTGTTTAAGAATTGTAAAGCTTTGTTTGACAAGGCTAAAGATTGTGGTTTTTGTTTTTTCCAGTGCCATGACTTAAGTCGAGCTGAATCACCGCTCTGTTCCGCTAATGCTTCAGAAAACACCGCAGTGATTTGCCTTTTAACTCTGTTCCTAAAGGCTGTTCATTATTGAATAGAGGCCTATTGTGTGGAAAACACTGCTTGTTAATCCAGAGTAAGTCCCTGTTTTTTTTACGAGACATACATATTGACAGGCTAAGTTGGATGTTGACGTGTAGGCTCCTTGATTCTTTGATTGACGTGAAATCATCTGTGCTTCGGGGGCTTTCATATTGACTGTTCATCTAAAAATAAAAAAGCTGCCTGTGATGTTGTGGTTTGCTCTGTCTTTCTCAGTTCTGAAGCCTCTGTTTCTGTTTATTTACTGGAGAGCTATTGTTCTGGGTTCACCGGGTTTACAATGTATTTAAGCCACGATCCAGCTATTTTTGTTGTCTCCATGTCAGCAAAGGGCTCGCCAGTTTGTAACTCTTACTGAGGGTTCCTGTGTTTGTGTGTAAGAGGGAGTAAAAAGCACTCATTTGTCTTTCTTTTCATTTATTTACACATGAACACATTAAATGGACCGTTCTGAGAGTCTGTTGTATTGCACGGTAACGTAAAACCGTTAATTCGACGTTGATTAATAGCTGGTGAGTCGGGCATTGGTTAATTCAGATCAATGGGCACTCCCAAAGATTTCCTGTCTGGGGGAAGAGATCCATACTGTTTCGCAGCACATGATATCCTGATGATGACAAGTGAGGAGGGAATGCTCAGTCAATTCTGTCAATGAAAAACCACTTGGCAAATCCACAGATACTAAAGGCATCTGTGTGTGTTGCTTGGGAGCAGCGCAGGTGCTCAAACTCTCGGTGACCTGGAGCCTCTGTGCCATTAAAATAATCTTGATACCTGTATCGAGCTCAAACACAGGTGTCTATCTCCCCTGTGTTCACAAGATTACCTGGAAAAAGTTGGCAGCTTTGACCTACAATTGGGGAGCTGAGGAAATAAATGAAAGGCTGTGATGATAAACCAAAGTTTCCATGGGCCTGCTCAGAGATTGGAGTCAGAGAATCCCTGACCCAGGGGCTGTGTCGTGTTGCTCCCAGCTGGGGAGCACCCTGTGTTAGCAAGCTGGATCAGAGCTGTGGAGCAGGAAGCCAAGCCTGCATGGTCTCAGCTGTTTGACTGTGTGGCTAAAGCCAAAGCCTGCTCCCTGAGCCCTGAAATGTATCCTAAATGGTGGGAGTGTAATGTGTAAGTGTGTCTGTGCCTCAGCTGAGGCATATGTAGGCTATTTGTAAGTGTTTTGGAATGTGTTTTCATTAACAGAACCGTTGAGCATTATTGTCGTTTCATGGCGCGGCTAAGAAACTAAACTGAATCAGGATTTAGCCTGTAGTCTTTTCGTTGTTTGTGACTTCGGCTGAGGTTATATAATGATGATGGTCCCTGTCATTTAGTGGTCCCCTTCTCTCATGCGCCTCCATCCCTCTCCCTCGCTGTCCCTCTT